AAATTAATGTGCACTATATATTGAGCTCAAAGCTCTATGCTAATTACATGTTTCTTTGACTAATAAGAAACTTTTAGCAAGGAAATAGGAGAATTGTTGTGTGTGCGCATTAGTGCATGTATAATTTTTAAATTTTGGTGCATTTACATAAAAGTTGAAATTTTTTAATATTATTTAATTAAATATTAATAAATAAACTTGCAACGGTCAAATGTCAATGGTCAATAGTCCAACCTACGATCAACGATCCGTCCTAGCTGCCACTGGACTCTGGATTCGCCCTTGATTGCAAGTAGAAAAACTTCCCATATATGTTCAGATAAAAATGTTTAACATGCTTGAATTTCTTATTTTTTTTAATTAGACAAAAATGCTTCACATTAATATCAAGTGGGAAACATCACATACTAGACATAATTTGTAAATAATATATCAATGTGAATCAAAATTAGGCCCCAAATCTTTGCGGATAAACATAATATGATTAGGTAATTAAATAGTAGCGAACAAATCAAGTAATTGTTCAAACAATATTGGTAGTATTATTAGATAAAAATTAATAGCAGTAGTAGTAGTGTTATCATTAATTGTTCTTATAGTTTATTCAAATAAATTATTTCTAATATAGCTATACCTTCTTCTATTAGGGACCTAAAAAATTGCGTTCTAGCATGATAAGGTGTAGTCCAGCCTTCTGCACATAGATGATAGTACTTGTACCAATTACAAGTAATAGGTGGCATTGGTCTACTAGTATGTCAATTTACCTGTACACAATCATATAGAAAAACATAAGTATAAATATCATTTAGTTAATTAAAAATTTAATTAATTTAATAGATATTTACCAAGACAAAATGGCAGTCATTGGCAAATCCAATTGTAACAATCTTATGAGATGTGATTGCAAGTAGTTTATCTCAAAGTGGAAGAAATGTAAGACATTGTTGTTGGCTCAAGTGAATAAGAATAATTTTATATCTTGAAGCAATAACATGACCCATATCCAGCATGGTCATCCAATACTTACGACTCACTGAACCATCAAAATGAGAAAGTGAATGAATCAACTCATGTACCATATCATCATTTCCATAGAGTCTAGAGTAATCATCAAAATGAGAATCATCAAAATGAGATTCAAGCTCCTTTATTAGATCTTTTCTAACCGAAGACCAATTATCTTGTGTAATCATTTTGTTTCAATGTGTATAAGATTTCCTTTAGTCTTACATGATTTTTTGACATGTCTACTAAAATTGAAGTCCCTTTCTCAATTAATCTCCCAGCATATGAATGTCCTTCAAGGTTCTAGGCAATGTCATGATTATGTCTCCCAAATTTCACTTTAAATATCCAATAATCACCATTTATCAATTTTCTTTCATTCAAAGCAAATGGACATCCACACTTTTTTGTTTCAGTAGCTCTATGTCTCTTTCCTTTTTCATTTTCTTTGTTAGTATTCCTACACCTATACGAACCATATCTTTCACATGTAAAATCAATTCTTGGTTTTCTCCCAACTTGGCCTCGAAGTCCGACTTTTTTATAACAACAATCATGTTATGTCTCTTACTAGTAGTTTTAACCCAATCAATCAAGGTCTCTTTACTTGTAAGCATCTGTTTATCATCAAATATTCATATATAAATATATAATCATATTAAAAAAATAAAATCATTGCGTACCATGTTTGTTGTAAACATATTTGTATAATCAACAAATAACTCATTCTGAACATCATAGTTATGGGTTGATATATCATACATTAAAAGTATAGTTTCAAATGATTTCATTGAAATAAATTTAATAATAAATAAGATAACAATCAAAACATTGGGTAAGTATGTGAAATGGCAGACGAATTGGAACTTTTCTAAATACTTGTGAAAAAAACCCACTAAAATAGAAGACCATCTTTCAAAATTTACCAATATTTTACCAAAACATCCATTTTGAGGGTGTAATTGATTAGAAAAGGCCTTTCAAATTTATAATATGGTAACCCACATGAAATAGTCACATTCTTAAGACAAGTTGAATATTTGCTATGGTCCCTAAAGCCAAGATGGAAAAAAAAAATCTAAAGCTCATAAATGTCTTAATGCATTAGGAAAAAAATCAAATAACAAAATACAACAAAAATGTAATCCTTACTTTTTCAAATTTCTCTTCATATATTACTATATCTGTGTATTTTTGTTCTAATAGTGTCTCTTCCATTGTTCATTGAATTCCTTGTCTATTGAAGTTCTGAGTATTACAATGCTTTGAACAACAAAGGCTAAAAAAAGGAAGAAGAAGAAAGTTCAATTAAGCAAGCTGAATTTTACCAACTTTGTATGCTGCAGATATTGAAGACTTCTAATTTGAAAACTTTTTGCTAGTATTTCAAAACTTTAGCAACCATGGAAATTCCATAGATCTTACTTGCTGCATTAATGAAGATTAACTAAATGTTATCAGCATAGTTTTATAATGGACGGGACATTAGTGCAGTGAAATTTATTTATTGTTAAAAATGGCTATCTGTGCACAAAAACATTAGGTTGAGGATGCAAGTGTCAATTGAAAAAAGATTACGGACCTTCATGACATGGGGAATGCAAATGAGAGATCATTTGTAAAAAAATGGATTAAATGTGCAACTAACTCAAAGACGCTCATAAAATGGCAAATCAACACTCACCTTTTGCGGTTGATCATGAATGCTTCTTTCGTTGCATAAGGTAACCCTGTCTTCAGACAATATTCTCTCAACTAACTCTATGATTCTGCATTAATTTCCAAATAACCATCATTTCCTGGCTGAATTCCTATGACGGGGAAAGGATATGGATAGCCATTGAAATTTTTCCCCCCTATGGCATGTGACAGACAAATTAATTTGGCAACCAAAAAAGTGGTATATGCACTACTTGATTTCTAAGTTTTTCAATTCTGTTATTAATTCAATTAAAGAATTGAGTTATTATTTAAAATTCTTTTGTTTACTAATAGTTTTATTATCGAATTTTTTCTGATGCAAGTCGAGCCTCAACGAGACATTCATGGAATGCTGGGGCAGTAATAAAAGATAAGTACTGGACACAAACATCGGGACATTGTGGGGGCATCAGACATTTGGATTTGCTTTATTTTATTTATTTGATTGTCGGAACTTTTTACATATAGCTAATCTTGCTGAAAATTTGTAGTATAATTGAAAATTATTTCTAGATTTCTCTCCCAAATTCTTCTGCTATTTTTTTTTTTCTCTTACATCAACAATGACTCTAGACACCAACCAGACAACCACTACTATTACATATGAAAAAATATTTCTCCACCTGATCTTAAAAACAAAGAATTTTTAATTTTAGAAAAGATTTGCTTTCCCCAACAAAATTCACATACAAGCATAGAAGTCTATGAAATTACATAACCAGGTTGAAGATAACGTTCAAAGAATAAACAGTTAGCCCCAAATAAAATAAAAATTCAAAGATAGAATAGCCCTACACAACTCACAGTACAGAAATACTATCAGAAATAAAATTCATGCTTTATGTGTAGTTAATACCTGACAACAACACAGGGGATAAAATAAGCATACAGATTGTGGGACAGACATGCCTTGCACATTCAACAAACACAATTCAACTTGGACTTGGTTCTCCTATAGAATAATATGCCATAGTAGCACTATAATTCAGTATAAAACAAATGAAAGTGTGGGCAGAGAACTCGCTAAGCAGAGACAAAAATTGCGTGCTAAGAGATTTGTTTTCTGAAAATAAGAGATTGAATTTAAGATATGGGAAGTTGGCATGCATGTGAATTTGGGGACATCCATCACCTATAATTATACTCATGTAATTTTTTCTAATCTATTAGGATTCTAGTTAAACACAAATTCTAAAAGAATAAAAAAAGATTTAGGATAAGTTAAAGAAAATAAAAATTTGTGAATCAATTTAGAGTTATGTATTTTTATTTAATTCTGTTTATGTCTATTTAAGTAAATTTACATAAGATTTAAAATATAATAAAAATTTATTTTTAAAAGTGAATGTACTTACAAAAAAACGTGGATGGAAATAGCGCTATCCTATTCTTATACAGCCTATGTTCAGAATTATTCCACCGTGTAGTCTCTAGCCACCATTTGCAGTTTAACTGAGTCTAGAAAGTGGCTACCTAGACTTTGTAGAATATCAAATTATTCAACTAAGACACTTGATTAAAATAGCCCTGCTAGCTATGACTATAAATCACTCGTGATTATGAAACTGCGTATCATCTCCTCCACGTATCTTTTGTTTTTGCTTATATTTCATTCTTGAGTTAGGGACCATTTGGTATGATTTTTGTTTTTACTTTTACTTTTTGTAGAAGAATTTTTTAAGAAAGCTACCTTAATTTTTGTTTGGAAACCAACAATAAATTGATTTTCTCTAAAAACTCTTCTAACTACTCAAAAAACTTTCATTAAATTAGTCTAATAGGTTCAAAAGCTCCTTTTGAAGTTTCAGAAATCATGGCTAATGGGCCCAAAGAACTTCATTTTGATCGACGAGGTTTTACAATAAGCCCTTGTTTGAGCTTCATTTTATCAAAAACTCATTTTCAATCACATATTCTCCAATAAAATAATTTTACACGAAAATTAAAAAAAAAATCTTATTTTTTAGCCATATATTCTCCAAAAAATATTATTCCAAAATATATTCATCACC